AATGTATGTGAAATGGTTTGATACAGGAATGTTTTACTATGTGATTTTAGTGTATTTAGTGAATGTCACTTTTTGACAATTTTAAATTTCCCGCCAGTTCCGTCCCCGTACGTCCCGACGTCTCAGGGAACGGAACCCGGAAGACAGATGCTGGCATCGGCCGGATGAGATGGCCGGGGACATTGCAGGGGGGACATCGCGGGGAGCGCAGGACAAGGTAAGTGCAGAAGTGATCCCGGAGCAACTCTGCAAGGTATTCCCGAGTGTAGCTCGGGGTTACCGCTTGAGGTGCTGAAACTTTAACCCGAGCTACACTCCGGAATACCGCCAGGGGGTTAAGGTGAAAAAATTTTCAGCCATTACAATCACTTTAGAGGTTTAAACTTTTCAATTATTTTTCATGGTCAGTGAATCATATAAAGTTGTTATAAAATATTTTTGGGCCTGAGTCCCTTCCAGCTAGTTGATCTATTCAGAACACCAGCTAGGATAAATATAGATATCAGTGATACCTTTTATTAATACTGATTTGTTGTTCATATGTTTGCCAGACCTTCCGAATATTGGAAATAATTGGCATTATACTGGTATATTATTGAAGGATATTCCTTTGGATATTAGGAGTATCTTGTAAGTGTTCTTATGTGTTCGGGTTGTGTCATAGAACTTTATATCTTGATGAATTTTGGATTTAAGGTTATTTGTTGTGGTCTTTATTGGCTATTTTCTTTTTGTGAAGCAAAAGGTTTGTAACTGGTTCTGGGCCAGCATGCAGTGATGGTTCAGTTCAGTTTGGTGCAGGGGCAGACTGACAACTCATGGGGCCACTGGGCAATAGGGGATCATGGGGCCCCTGTGTCCTTGCCCAAACTCAAAAAAGCCTATTAAAAAGGTACCAGGGGCATCTCATGGGGCCCCCTATTGACCCCGGGCCCTCGGGCAGTGCCAGAGTTTCCAAATGGTCAGTCCACCCCTGGTTTGGTGTGTGCTAACTGTATATTCTGCATCAACACTGAGATTATTGGTCTTTTCATTGTTTTCAGGTCCCGGTGTCAGAGTGCTCTGAACATTGTTTACCAGGAAGCAGAAAAAAGCTGAGATCAACAAAATATCCGTGCTGTTATGACTGCGTTCCATGTTCAGAAGGAGAAATATCTAATGATACCGGTATATCTGGTTCTTGCTCAGTTTATACAAATATAGACTGTGTTGATGATGGGGGTGTTGGTGATATTAATCAAGATGATGATGATGCATACATTTGTATATACCAGGGGCGGACTGACCATTTGGAAACTCAGGCACTGCCCGAGGGCCCAGTGTCAGTAGGGGGCCCCATGAGATGCCCCTGGTACCTTTTTCATAGGCTTTTTTGAGTTTGGGCAAGGACACAGGGGCCCCATGATCCCTATTACCCGGGGGCCGAATGAGTTGTCAGTCCACCCCTGGTATATACTATATATATAGTCTACATTTCTCTTTTCTGGTCCTTTTCATTGTAGTTGCTCTTTACATCATTTTCAAAATGTACCAATCAGGGGAAGACTGACCAGTTGGGCACTCGGCATTGCCTAAGGACCCGTAGCCAGTAGGGGGCCCCATGACTGTGTTGCCAACCGTCCAGAGCTGACTCATGATATGGGAGCCCTGCTGCCACTCAGCATATACTGGCCCAATCTGCAGGTTTCTCGGGCAGCTCCACACCGCTGACTCTGTTCTCTGTCCCGAACGCCTTTGGGCATAACAACAGGTAGAAGAGTCATGAGTACACCCAACTCTCACACCCATCCAGCCTGCCACTGTCTGCTCTAGCCAGATACCTCTGTGATCCTTCCCGCCCTCTCCCCCCTCCTCTCCCTGTGCTTGGTGATAGAGGTGAAGCATGTTCCATCCAGCTACCGTCTCTCCTAGTCTTGCAGCCACAGCAGGGTGCCTCCCCAAGCCTTCCCACATTCCCTCCTCCTCTGTTCGAGCTCCATAATGGAGGTTATGCATTGTCTCTGCACCTGCTCCTTCTTGGCATTCCAGCCATCATAGTATTTCTCCCGCCATGCCTGGTGCTGTGAGCCTTCCTGACCAACACCAAACTAGGAGAGGGGGCACATTATGAGCACACTGTCTTGCATAGCAGTAGCCTGGTCTGTCATCACAATTTCTGGTCTTGCTACCCGCACACTGTTGTGCCTGTGATTTCTGCTGAGCTTTTCCAGGTAAAACAAAAGTGAAGCAAGGGGAGAGTACATCCCGACTGGCAGTAAAACACGTTAGGAAAATAGAATCCTTGTTGGTGACTCTGAACTGTGCATATGCAGGCTTGAGCCAGCCAGTTAGAGAACGGATGGACTCAGCCTCATATTAGCCTCAGATTGGTAGTGGGATGTGGCTTATATTCACATTCGCCGCCACACAAGTAGAGGCCAAGTTCAGCAGCTCACTAACTGGCTCCATCCAGACTGCACATTCACAGTTCAGAGTCACTGATGAGGGTTTTTTTTCTCTGAAGTGTTTTATTTATATGAAAAGGGGCACTCTGGCGGAGCAGGACATAAGGGGGCACTAAGGGGTACTCTGGAGGAGGATGTAAGGAGGCACTCTGGTGGTACTAACTTAGTACTCCCAGAGTGCCCTTATACATGATCCAGCATGTCCCATTGTTGCCTCCAGAGTGCCCCCTTAGTACATTATTACTAATTGGACACTTTGGAGGATGTAAGGGGGCACTCAAAAGGCACCAAGAGGGCACTCTGTAGGAGGGGGTAAGGAGGAACTCTGGAGGTAATAACGTAGTACCTCCAGACTGCCCCCTTACATCCTCCAGAATGCCTGCTTGTTCCTTTAGAAACAGGATCCACTGAGCACAGGTGCACTGCTTTGTGGGCTCCTGTGGGTAAAAATAATAAATGCACATTTAATTTCCTGGAAATATCAGGGCAGTAATTATTTTTTCCTTGATGGTGACTTTAGCCTTTAAATATTGATTGTCTTTGTTTACAATAGGATTTGCTGTCATGTTTTGGCTTGAGAGTACAAAAATGTGCTCCTTCAGTAAATTTTTCATGTCTCGTCAGTAACAAGTCATCGGAGGTTGGCAACACAGCCCCATGAGCAGGACCGTCTTTTTGCATGGGTACCCCTGGAATCATGCCAGGGGCCCCAGGTGCATGGGGGCCCCTGAAATTCCCCCTCCCAACAGGGGAGATTGTGTGTAAATAGAGTGGGTGATCAGTGCAATAGGTGAGAGAATGAAAACTAAAACCAATTTTTTGTTCTTTCACTGCAGCAGCCGAAAGCCAACATCTCCTGCTCCAGCTGCAGCAACGAGAGCCACAAAAGATGAGTTCCAGTTATTTCTCCCACCTGCTGCACTGATCTCCTCCCATAGCACTGCTGACTTTGAAGTTAGAAGTAGAAGGATCCAACTGGAATCTTAAATGTATGAATTCTACTGAGCTCTATACTCATCTACCTGTATGATTTGGCTTGAGAAAAAATAGAGGACTGCAAAACCATTGATATTTTATCCATACTCCCATCTGCAGTGCATGCAGATGATTAATAAATAGAATGTTACATTTTTTGATAATAGTGCTGATGACCCCTAATGGATCAGTAGGATCCTGTTTGAGACTTTCATTACAACATTATGCCGTATGGGATAGTGTGCACGTAATGCAGTAACTAAAAATAACCAATAATAAACTGTAATTGTATTTTTCCCCATAGACAGTGTAGGCTGCATGAGATGTCCAGATGACCAATGGCCCAATAAAAAACAAGATCGCTGTGTGCGAAAAATACTGGAATTTATTTCTTATCAAAATGATGCCCTTGCTACAGTAATGTCATCTGTGACTATTTTATGTTGTGTAATAACTGGCCTTATATTGGGATTATTTGTTTATCATCGGAATACACCCATTGTTAAAGCTAATAACCGGAACCTGAGCTATCTTCTCCTGGTCTCCATCATGCTGAGCTTCCTTTGTGTCTTCTTGTTCCTCGGCCGTCCAGTACATGTAACCTGCATGCTGCGTGTAACCTCTTTTGGTGTCATCTTCTCAGTTTCTGTCTCTTCTCTACTTGCCAAAAGTATCATGGTGTGTATTGCTTTTAAAGCCACCAAACCTGGGAGATCCTGGAGGAAAAGGTTTGGGACCAAATTGCCCACTGTGTAATGTGTGGGTGTTCATCTATCCAAGTCATAATCTGTGTCACTTGGTTGTCTGTTTCTCCTCCCTTCCCAGGATCAGGACACTCACTCTTATCAGGGAAAGATCATCCTTCAGTGTAATGAGGGTTCAGTTATCGGCTTCTACTCTGTCCTGGGATATATGGGGCTTCTGGCAGTTGTGAGTTTCATTATATAGCTTTTTTAGCCAGGACATTACCGGACACTTTTAATGAGGCCAAGTACATCACCTTCAGCATGCTGGTGTTCTGCAGTGTCTGGATTGCCATGATCCCGGCCTATCTGAGCACTAAAGGGAAAGACATGGTGGCTGTGCAGATTTTTGCCATTATGTCATCAAGTGCTGGACTTCTCTGTTGTATATTTTTCCCAAAATGTTACATAATCCTGTTCAGACCAGAAAATAATACAAAACAATTGATTTTGCCGGTAACAAGAAACCACTAAATATGTTGTTTTTATTTTTAAATGCTTATGTGTGCAGTTAATTTGTTCTTATGTGCTATTTGTGCAGCATCTTGTTTCTGACTAGTTATGGTGTCATGGTAATAACTAGAGATGAGCGAAGAAATGAAAAATTCGATTCGACTGATTCGGCGAATTCGTGGACAATATTCGATTCAAGTCGAATAAATTCGCTGTGAATTTAACTTAAAAAAGGGTGTTTCTAGGCTTCAGAGAGACTTAATATTAGTGCAGAACACTGTACCTTTAATTTAAATGCCCTTGAGTCTGCTGGGGAAGAGAAATAATACTGTCAGTCAGTATGACATGCAGATGAGTGCCGTCGATCTTAGAATCACTGCACACTTCACTCCTTTGGCCAGTCACGGGGCCAAAACCAGTGTTTGGAGCCACAGTGTGGCGGTTGGTGGAGCCAGCAGCAATGGGAGGCCATACAGCACCCTATGACAAAATGGAAACCAGCAGGAGCGTGAGGAGACCTGAAAGTGGCACATGGCAAGTGGCACATGGAGTGGGAGCAATGGGGAGGCGGTACAGGGACCCAGGTCACACTGTGGGCCCAGCAGCAGCGTGACCAGGCGGTACGGGGGCCCATGGCCGATATGGGGCTTGGTGGCACCTATGGAAGGCCTGTAATCTGCCAGCAACCTATGACAAAATGGACAACCGCAGGAGTGTGAGGAGATTTCAAAGTGGCACATGGCAGAGTGGAAGCAATGGGAGGCCGTACAGGGACCCAGGTCACACTGTGGGCTCTCAGCAGCAGCGTGACCAGGAGGTACGGGGGCCCATGGCCGATATGGGGCCTGGCGGCACCTATGGGGGGCCGCTAATCTGCCAGCAACCTATGACAAAATGGACAACCGCAGGAGTGTGAGGAGATTTCAAAGTGGCACATGGCAGAGTGGAAGCAATGGGAGGCCGTACAGGGACCCAGGTCACACTGTGGGCCCAGCAGCAGCAGCGTGACCAGGCGGTACGGGGGCCCATGGCCGATATGGGGCCTGGCGGCACCTATGGGAGGCCGCTAATCTGCCAGCAACCTATGACAAAATGGAAAACCGCAGGAGTGTAAGGAGACCTCAAAGTGGCACATGGCAGAGTGTAAGCAATGGGAGGCCGTACAGGGACCCAGGTCACACTGTGGGAGCTCAGCAGCAGCGTGACCAGGAGGTACGGGGGCCCATGGCCGATATGGGGCCTGGCGGCATCAATAGAAGGCCTGTAATCTGCCAGCAACCTATGACAAAATGGAAACCAGCAGGAGTGGAGAGGAGAGACCTGAAAGTGGCACATGGCAGAGTGGGAGCAATGGGAGGCGGTACAGGGACCCAGGTCACACTGTGGGACCAGCAGCAGCGTGACCAGGCGGTACGGGGGCCCATGGCCGATATGGGGCCTGGCGGAACCTATGGAAGTCCTGGAATCTGCCAGCAACCTATGTCAAAAATGGACAAGCGCAGTAGTGTAAGGAGACCTCAAAGTGGCACATGGCAGAGTGTGGAAGCAATGGGAGGGCCGTACAGGGACCCAGGTCACACTGTGGGCTCAGCAGCAGCAGTGGACCAGGAGGTACGGGGGCCCATGGCCGATAAGGGGCCTGGCGGCAGCACCTATGGGAGGCCTAATCTGCCAGCAACCTATGACAAAAAATGGAACAACCGCAGGAGTGTGAGGAGACCTGAAAGGGCACATGGCAAAGTGGAAGCAGACAGGGAGGCCGTACAGGGACCCAGGTCACACTGTGGGCTCAGCAGCAGCGTGACCAGGCGGGTACGGGGGGGCCCATGGCCGATATGGGGCCTGGCGGCACCTATGGGAGGGCCGCTAATCTGCCAGCAACCTATGACAAAAAATGGACAACCAGCAGTAGTGTGAGGAGAAGTTTCAAAGTGGGCACATGGCAGAGTGGAAGCAATGGGAGGCCGTACAGGGACCCAGGTCACAGGCGGTACTGTGGGGCTCAGCAGCAGCAGCGTGACCAGGCGGTACGGGGGCCCATGGCCGATTTGACCTCATTCATCCCATAGTGGGAGCCGAGTCAATCGAAATAGCGTGGCCTCCTCAAAGGGCCTGAGCAAGCGCAATTGTCACGCATGAGTGACAATGGCTGACATCTAAGTTACACACATGGCAGCAGTACCTTTATCCGCTTTTTTAACATCAGGAAATCTGTGATGGCCTTTAGCTGTTCGTAAAGGCGGCCTAAGACATATGTAGGGTTGAATTACACCTTGTTGCAACGCACAGCATGAGGAGTCAGGTACGGGGGGGGGGCCATGGCAGATTACGGGGCCTGGCAGCAGCAGCAATGGGAGGCCCGTAATCTGCCAGCACCCTATGTCAAAAAATTCAACACACCAGCAGTGTGAGGAGACCTGAAAGTGGCACATGGCAGAGTGTGGCGATGGAGACAGCAGCAATGGGAGGCCGTACAGGGACCCATGAGAGACTCTGGACTTGGCAGCTGCAGCAGCATGAGGAGGCGGGTATATAGGGGCCCATGGCAGATTAGGGGCCTGGCAGCAGCAGCTATTGGAGGCCCGTTATCTGCCAGCACCCTATGTCAAAAAATTGAACACACCAGCAGTGTGAGGAGACCTGAAAGTGGCACATGGCAGAGTGTGGCGATGGAGACAGCAGCAATGGGAGGCCGTACAGGGACCCATGAGAGACTCTGGACTAGCAGCAGCATGAGGAGGCGGTATATAGGGGCCCATGGCAGATTAGGGGCCTGGCAGCAGCTATGGGAGGCCCGTAATCTGCCAGCACCCTATGTCAAAAAATTCAAACACACCAGCAGTGTGAGGAGACCTGAAAGTGGCACATGGCAGCAGAGTGTGGCGATGGAGAGACAGCAGCAATGGGAGGCCGTACAGGGACCCATGAGAGACTCTGGACTTGGCAGCAGCATGAGGAGGCGGTATATAGGGGCCCATGGCAGATTAGGGGCCTGGCAGCAGCTATGGGAGGCCCGTAATCTGCCAGCACCCTATGTCAAAAAAAATTAACACACCAGCAGTGTGAGGAGACCTGAAAGTGGCACATGGCAGAGTGTGGCGATGGAGACAGCAGCAATGGGAGGCCGTACAGGGACCCATGAGAGACTCTGGACTTGGCAGCAGCAGCATGAGGAGGAGGCGGTGGTATATAGGGGCCCATGGCAGATTAGGGGCTGGCAGCAGCTATGTGAGGCCCGTAATCTGCCTGCACCCTATGTCAAAAAATTAAACACACCAGTGTGTGAAGAGACCTGAAAGTGGCACATGGCAGCAGAGTGTGGCGATGGAGACAGCAGCAATGGGAGGCCGTACAGGGACCCATGAGAGACTCTGGACTTGGCAGCAGCATGAGGAGGCGGGGTATATATAGGGGCCCATGGCAGATTAGGGGCCTGGCAGCAGCTATGTGAGGCCCGTAATCTGCAGCACCCTATGTCAAAAAATTTAACACACCAGCAGTGTGAAGAGACCTGAAAGTGGCACATGGCAGCAGAGTGTGGCGATGGAGACAGCAGCAATGGGAGGCCGTACAGGGACCCATGAGAGACTCTGGACTTGGCAGCAGCATGAGGAGGCGGTATATAGGGGCCCATGGCAGATTAGGGGCCTGGCAGCAGCTATGTGAGGCCCGTAATCTGCCTGCACCCTATGTCAAAAAATTAAACACACCAGCAGTGTGAAGAGACCTGAAAGTGGCACATGGCAGCAGAGTGTGGCGATGGAGACAGCAGCAATGGGAGGCCGTACAGGGACCCATGAGAGACTCTGGACTTGGCAGCAGCATGCATGAGGAGGCGGGTATATAGGGGCCCATGGCAGATTAGGGGCCTGGCAGCAGCTATGTGAGGAGGCCCGTAATCTGCCAGCACCCTATGTCAAAAAAATTTAACACACCAGCAGTGTGAAGAGAGACCTGAAAGTGGCACATGGCAGGCCCATGTGGCGATGGAGACAGCAGCAATGGGAGGCCGTACAGGGACCCATGAGAGACTCTATGGACTTGGCAGCAGCAGCAGAGGAGGAGGCGGCACATGGCAGCAGTGGGTATATAGGGGCCCATGGCAGATTAGGGGCCTGGCAGCAGCTATGGAGGCCCGTAATCTGCCAGCACCCTATGTCAAAAAAAATTTAAACACACACAGCAGTGTGAAGAGACCTGAAAGTGGCACATGGCAGCAGAGTGTGGCGATGGAGACAGCAGCAATGGGAGGCCGTACAGGGACCCATGAGAGACTCTGGACTTGGCAGCAGCATGAGGAGGCGGTATATAGGGGCCCATGGCAGATTAGGGGCCTGGCAGCAGCTATGTGAGGCCCGTAATCTGCCAGCACCCTATGTCAAAAAATTAACACACAGCAGTGTGAAGAGACCTGAAAGTGGCACATGGCAGCAGAGTGAGTGTGGCGATGGAGACAGCAGCAATGGGAGGCCCGTACAGGGACCCATGAGAGACTCTGGACTTGGCAGCAGCATGAGGAGGCGGTATATAGGGGGCCCATGGCAGATTAGGGGCCTGGCAGCAGCTATGTGAGGCCCGTAATCTGCCTGCACCCTATGTCAAAAAATTTAACACACCAGCAGTGTGAAGAGACCTGAAAGTGGCACATGGCAGCAGAGTGTGGCGATGGAGACAGCAGCAATGGGAGGCCGTACAGGGACCCATGAGAGACTCTGGACTTGGCAGCAGCATGAGGATGGAGGAGGCGGTATATAGGGGCCCATGGCAGATTAGGGGCCTGGCAGCAGCTATGTGAGGCCCGTAATCTGCCAGCACCCTATGTCAAAAAATTTAACACACCAGCAGTGTGAAGAGACCTGAAAGTGGCACATGGCAGCAGAGTGTGGTGGCGATGGAGACAGCAGCAATGGGAGGCCGTACAGGGACCCATGAGAGACTCTGGACTTGGCAGCAGCATGAGGGAGGCGGTATATAGGGGCCCATGGCAGATTAGGGGGGGCTGGCAGCAGCTATGTGAGGCCCGTAATCTGCAGCACCCTATGTCAAAAAAATTAAACACACCAGCAGTGTGAAGAGACCTGAAAGTGGCACATGGCAGCAGAGTGTGGCGATGGAGACAGCAGCAATGGGAGGCCGTACAGGGACCCATGAGAGACTCTGGACTTGGCAGCAGCATGAGGAGGCGGCGGTATATGGGGTATATAGGGGCCCATGGCAGATTAGGGGCCTGGCAGCAGCTATGTGAGGCCCGTAATCTGCCAGCACCCTATGTCAAAAAATTAACACACCAGCAGTGTGAAGAGACCTGAAAGTGGCACATGGCAGCAGAGTGTGGCGATGGAGACAGCAGCAATGGGAGGCCGTACAGGGACCCATGAGAGACTCTGGACTTGGCAGCAGCATGATGGAGGAGGCGGTATATAGGGGCCCATGGCAGATTAGGGGCCTGGCAGCAGCTATGTGAGGCCCGTAATCTGCTGCAGCACCTATGTCAAAAAAATTAAAACACACCAGCAGTGTGAAGAGACCTGAAAGTGGCACATGGCAGCAGAGTGTGGCGATGGAGACAGCAGCAATGGGAGGCCGTACAGGGACCCATGAGAGACTCTGGACTTGGCAGCAGCATGAGGAGGCGGTATATAGGGGCCCATGGCAGATTAGGGGCCTGGCAGCAGCTAGCTATGTGAGGCCCGTAATCTGCCTGCACCCTATGTCAAAAAATTTAAACACACCAGCAGTGTGAAGAGACCTGAAAGTGGCACATGGCAGCAGAGTGTGGCGATGGAGACAGCAGCAATGGGAGGCCGTACAGGGACCCATGAGAGACTCTGGACTTGGCAGCAGCATGAGGAGGCGGGCGGTATATAGGGGCCCATGGCAGATTAGGGGCCTGGCAGCAGCTATGTGAGGCCCGTAATCTGCCTGCACCCTATGTCAAAAAATTTAACACACACAGCAGTGTGAAGAGACCTGAAAGTGGCACATGGCAGCAGAGTGTGGCGATGGAGACAGCAGCAATGGGAGGCCGTACAGGGACCCATGAGAGACTCTGGACTTGGCAGCAGCAGCATGAGGAGGCGGTATATAGGGGCCCATGGCAGATTAGGGGCCTGCAGCAGCAGCTATGTGAGGCCCGTAATCTGCCTGCAGCACCCTATGTCAAAAAATTAAAAAACACACACCAGCAGTGTGAAGAGACCTGAAAGTGGCACATGGCAGCAGAGTGTGGCGATGGAGACAGCAGCAATGGGAGGCCGTACAGGGACCCATGAGAGACTCTGGACCTGGCAGCAGCAGGAGGAGGCGGTATATAGGGGCCTATGGCAGATTAGGGGCCTGGCAGCAGCTATAGGAGGCCCGTAATCTGCCAGCACCCTATGTCAAAAAATTCAAC